GGATTTTCTTTATCTAAAGAAGAATATAATGAGCTCCTTCAGTATCGAGCAAGTAAGCAGACATCTCCACAAGTAGCCTCAGTTGCTCAGATTGATACTTCTGTTTCTGGTAATTCTTTTGCCTGTGTTTCCCAGTCTAGCACTCTTGGCCCATGGGTCATGGACTCCGGCGCTTCTGATCACATCTCTGGTAATATATCACTTTTGTCAAATATTGTATTATTCACAGTCTCTTCCCACTGTTACTTTAGCCAATGGATGTCAAACTAAGGCAAAAGGAGTTGGACAAGCTAATCCCTTGTCTTCTATCACCCTAGATTCCATTCTTTATGTCCCTAGCTGTCCTTTTAGTCTTGCATCTGTTAGTCGTTTGACTCATGCCCTCAATTGTGGTATATATTTTATTGACGATTCTTTTATTATGCAGGACCGCAGTACGGGACAGACAATTGGTACAGGACGTGAATCAGAAGGCCTTTACTACCTTAACTCACTCAGTCCTTCCACAGCATGTCTAGTTACAGATCCTCCAGATCTAATCCACAGACGTTTAGGACATCCGAGTTTATACAAACTTCAGAAGATGGTGCCTAATTTATCTAGTTTGTCTACATTAGATTGTGAGTCGTGTCAACTTGGGAAACATACCCGAGCCTCCTTTTCGCGTAGTGTTGAGAGTCATGCAGAGTCGGTCTTCTCCTTAGTTCATTCTTATATATGGGGTCCTAGTAGAGTTAGTTCATCCTTGGTATTTCGTTATTTTGTTAGTTTCATTGATGATTATTCAAGATGTACTTCGCTTTTCTTAATGAAAGATCGTTCTGAGTTATTTTCTATATTCCAGAGTTTCTGTGCTGAAATCAAAAAACAATTTGGTGTTTCTATTCGCATTTTTCGCAGTGATAATGCCTTAGAATATTTATCTTCTCAATTTCAGCAGTTTATGACTTCTCAGGGAATTATTCATCAGACATCTTGTCCTTATACCCCTCAGCAAAATGGGTTGCTGAGAGAAAGAATAGGCACCTTATTGAAACTGTTCGCACACTTCTAATTGAATCTCGTATTCCGTTGCGTTTTTGGGGCGATGCAGTTCTCACAGC